AAAAAAAAAAAAATTGATGATGAGGATGTGAGACAAGGGAACCGACTCCCTTACACTGTCAATGGGAATGAAGATTTATACAGCCCTATAAAAGCAGCACGGAGGTGTCTCAAAAAAGATTTAAAATGGCTCTTCCATATGAATCAACAATTTCACTTCTAGCGGACAACCCCTCCCCCACCAAGAAAAAATTACTAATACTAATATTTGCAGCACCATGTTTATTACAGCACTAGTGACATTAATCAATCCATGGAAACAACCTGGGGGACCTAAAATAGATGAATGGATAAGGAAGGTGGATAATTACACTTTAGAATATTAGTCAGTGATCATAAAGATAAACATGTCATTTGTAGCAACTTGTTTGGAGCTGGGAAGGATAATATTAAATGAAAAAAGTTGAAAGGAGAAAGATAAGTACTGGATATTGTCACTTATATGTGATATATGGAGAAACCAAACAAGGTTAGAAACTAACCTTTGAAAAGCTGATTATAGAACTGAGTTATAAAGAGGAGATTGGTTTGGGGGAGATGTGAAAGCAAAGAGTGGGGGAACAGTGGACTATGGTAGTGAAGTAGAGTGAGCTGCAGGCAGGTACGTGATGATGGTGATGCCTGAAGGGGACACACACAGTAATGTAAGTCAACATCACCTCAATTAAAAGTAAATACACTAAATTTTATTATTATATCAACAAACTATTATTCTAGTCATGACTTTAATTATAGCATTTTTTACAACCTAGGCACAGACTTAATTACTAAGGAATAAACAGTATTAGTTGGTCATAAATTGATAACGTACAAAAATATTTAATTAACTGATATTAAATATGACATTACTAAAAGTAATTCATAATACTAGTATTTGTGAACTCAATTGTCCTTAGTGTCCTTGAGAATACACTCCCCTAGGAATCTCACAAGGATTTCCAACTTTGTTTTTTTAAAAAAAGTCTTGTGTAATTGTTGATTAGAGGAAATATACAAAAGAATAGGGTGTTGTAAATCCCAAGAATATGTGAGGAAGCTAATTACCAAAAAAACAATGGTTTTAACTGTAAAATCATTAATACAGGTGATACCATTAAAGAGAAATAATCTGCATTTACATAACCGTCAATAGTCTTCTTAAATTTTAACCCATTCCTTTACCACAGTCTGTACTTAAATGATAAAAAAACACTAAATTTTATAAAGAACATATTCTTATTAATAGACTTAATATTTGATATTTTATCTAATATCTAAAATATTTTAAACATTTTATCAAATATTTATGGAACTATATTTCAAAATTCTAAAATATAACTATGAAGGGGCTATTTATGATACATTTGAGCCACCAGTCTGAGAAGGGAAGTAACAGGCCCAGCTAGCCCTATGACTTGGAATACTTAGTTCTTAAGGGGAAAAAAATATCTTGGCAGGATAAAGGGTATACTGACTGCCTGACTTTTGTTAGTAATGAGAAATTCATACAACTAAACTTGAAAGCTACATGCAAAAAAATGAAACTACATCACTATCTCGCACCATGCACAAAAATCAACTCAAAGTGGATTAAAGACCTAGACAGAGGAATGGAAACCATAAAATACCTGGAAGCAAAGATGGGTGAAACACAAGACATACAATTCAGTAACATCTTTGAAAACACTGAACCAATGTAATGATAGTGAAGGCAAGGATAAATAGATGGGACTACATCAAATTAAAAAGTTTCTGTACAGCAAAAAAGACATTACAAAACCAAACAAGCATCCCACTGACTGGGAAAAAAAAAATTCTCACACAAAACTAGCAATAAAGGATTGATCACAAATGTATACATAGAATGATGAAACTCAACAAAAATAAGTAAACCCATAAAAAAAATGTTCTGAAGAACTAAAAAGACACTTCTCCAAAGAGGAAATGCAGATGGCCAACAAGCATATGAAAAAAATGTTCAACATCAGTTGTAATAAGGGATATGCAAATTAAAACACAATGAGATACCATCTCACACCAAAGAGAATGGCACATCTTAAAACAACTAGCAACAACAGATGTAGGTGACGATGTGGAGAAAATGGAACTCTTCTGCACTGCTGGTGGGAATGCAAACTAATACAACCACTATGGAAAACTGTTTGGAGGTTTCTCAAACTGCTAAAAATGGAGTTTCCGTCCGGCTCAGCAATCCCAAATTAGGTATCAACCCAAAAGACACAAAAACACTGATTTTTGTGTCTGCACTCCCATGTTTACTGCTACATGGAAACAACCCAAGTGCCCAAAAGCAAATGACTGGATTAAAAACATTTGGCATATATATACAATGGAATATTACTCAGCAACCAAAAAAAAAAAAAAGTCTTTTGCAGCAACATGGATGGAGTTGGAAAAGATCATGCTTAGTGAAATAAGCCAGGAAGAAAATGAAAAAAATATTGGATGGTTTCATTCATAACAGGAGCAAAAAGGACCAGAGGAAAAATAATAATAATAATGGACAACTATATACAAGAGACATTTTACAGGGGATGGAATACAGGATGAGATAAAAAATGGTGGAGGAAGGACTATGGTGATGGCACACAGGTGATTTGGTGTTGGGAAGCCCACGGGAATTACAACTGAGATGGAAAAAGGCACAAAATTGTGTTAAAAAAACTATGATATTACTAAACAAACTAACTAACCTTGAAACGGAGGCGGTTGCGTGTCTGGCTTTGAGTTGTGAAAAGAAGATTGTTAATATCACTTCCAAATAATGTAGGTGAAGATATCCTCTTTAATTTGGCCTCAAGTCCTTAAAGAAGATATTGTTTTAAAAAGCAGATATAAGTGATGCAGTGATAAAGCTTAATAGTTTTGAAATATTTTCATACTTTTAAATTTATTGACTATCTCTCACATAATGTGTTTTTTTTTCTTCTTTTAATGATTTGGAAAATGCAAAAAAGTAAATCTTTACCATAACTAATTGCACATATTTTTGACATGCAATTTGAGATTTCTAAAAAAAAAAGGAAGAATTTTTTTCCCCAATACATCTAAAATACCATGCGAGAGGACTTCTCACCAGTTCTTGTTGTTGCCACATTTTGCTCAGTTTCATAGCCATGGTTACTAGCAAAGAAGCACCAAGGAATAACAGTGTTGTTCTGTGGCCGCCAGCAGCAACCTCTCTTAGTACATATGTCCTGAGAAAGCAAACAAAAACAACAAAAAAACACTAAACAAATATTTATTGATAGGATCACATGACTTGCATTATTACACTGAGTATCAGTTTCTATTTCAAACATTTATTCATCCAATACATTGTACTATAAAATTTTAAGAAAAAGTATTTCCTCAATTATTATTATGCTAAAATAGAAATTACTCATTTGGTCCTTTCATTTGGAATAAATATAATTACTTGATTACATATTACAACATTCTACTAGAGACTATTGGGAGTTGTGATTTATCAAATTCAGTACATGTTACTACCAGTTTGAGTATTTTAAAGGTTTCTGCCACTGGTAGTTTTAATGTGTTTTATTGCCAAGCTGTCTATGTAGAAGAAGTAAAATTTTCATTCGTACTACTTAATTACCAATCAAAAGTGTGCCAACACAGAAATGAAGATATGACTGATTCAAGCCTACATAAAATGTTTAAGGAAGTTATTTCCAGCTAAGTAGTGGTTTAATATTTAGTTGTGTGAACTGAACTTTTTTTTTTTAACCTAGTGTTGTAACTAGTTGCTATCATTACACTAATGAGTAAAGTAAAATACAGAGCTCCGGCCCTCCCTGGTGGTGCAGCGGGTTAAAGCACAGCACAGAGAATCTAAAGCCACTTCCGCATGAGTTCGATTCCCACCTGCCCTGGAGGCGACCACATGGCGTGGCAGACCTCTCCTGACCCGCCTGCTGCTCCCCTCAGCAGTGTACTTTGTCCATCTGCCTGTTCTGCTCCCCACTCTGTCTCTGGTGAAGCCTCTCACCGCCCCTAAGCCTCTGGCCTGTACCCAGTTCTGTATGCACAAATAAATAAATCTTAAAAAAAAAAAAATACAGAGCTCCTAATAATTTTATCATCTATATAGGAACATAAATTAGAATAAAAATCATCTATGTTGGTAAAAAGTTTGAGTCACATGGTGGTGCTCAGTGTTAGCACTCATATAATTAAAAATCTACTAAATACTTAAATTTAATAGTGTGACACACTCTTTTATATTTGAACAGCTATGATTTGTTGTTGGTTATTTGCCTTGAGAATAAAGTCTCCATGCTGTACACACACACACACACATGCACACGCACACCCACATATATGTGCACATGTGTTTATGTGTATATACACATATCTAAATGTCTCTCTTATTTTAAAACCAAATTGAAGTGGCATAAAACACATTTATAGAAACATATAAACATATATGTATAATACATGCACAATGCAGAAGGGCGTAAAATTGAACCTGCTATTTATGAAGCATCATTACCTATCAGAATCAAATGTAGAAAATGCATACTTATGAGCAGGCAATTTTTTCTCTAGTTATTTAGCTTACAGAAATATTCTAGTAATACAAAAGATCATTGTACAAATTGTAAACTTTATTAAAAAATGTGGTACTGGACCTTTGCTTGTGGTTCAATAGGTTAAAGCACAGCTTTATGAAGCTATCCGCAGCCATTGAAGCATGAGGTATCCTGCATGGCATGGCAGACCTCTCCTGACCTGCCCACTACACCCCTTAGCTGTGTATTTCAGCCATTCTGCCTGTTCTGCTCCCCACTCCGTCTCTGATGAATCCTCTCACCCCCCTCCCCGTACTTCTTCTTGTATCTCAGTTCTTGTGAACACAAATATATATATTTTAAAATGTGCTATTTTTCTAGGTTTGTCATAACAGTCACCAATAGGGTGGTTTGAATTTAAAAAAAATTATTCTCTTACACTTGTGAGTTTTTAAATTCCTATTTCAGAGGCTAATAGAGACTTGTATTTATAAAATATAAGGGAAGACTCTGCCTGTTTCCAACAGTCTGTGCTTTTAGATAAATCACTCAAATCTCTATTTTCATCTTCAAACAGTCTTCCGTGTGGTTCTCTGTGTGCCATTCCCTCTCATAAGGATAAAAAAATGGATTCAGAGTCCATCTTAATCTACCATTACCTCATTTAATTAGCAGTGTTGACAAAGTCCCTATTTTCAAATAAGATCACATTTTGAGACTACATGTAGACATGAAGTTTTAGAGGTCATCATTCAACTAACTACATATACAAAGCAAATTGTTTAAAAATGTTAATGTTCAAAAGAGGAAAATGCTCTCCTTCCTCCTCTACTCCCTGCCATTCACTCATCCTCTTTCTGTGTACACGTACAGAGAAAATGCCAGGAAGACACAAGATTGAAACTGTTGGCTCTCTCTCGTGGCACAAAGAGTTAAAAAGCTCAGCACTATAAAGCTATCCCCAGTAAGGATCAGTAAGTCTGATCCCCAGTAAGGGAAAGGTCCACATGGGACAGCAGACCTCTACTGTCTTACCAGCTGCTCCCCTCAGCAGGGTATTTTATGGATCTGCCTGTTCTGCTCCCGACTCTGTCTCTGGTGAATCTTCTCACCCCCTCCCCCCACACCTCTAGCCTGTACCTCACTTCTTGTATGCATGAATAAATAAATCTTTCAAAAAAAAGAATGCATCTGTTCATATGACAGAAAGAGCATTCTCACCAGAATTCAATGTTAATGGCATGTTGGTTTCTATCCTGAAGAAAAGTGAGAACATATTTCAGTTAATCTGTTTTTTTTTTTTTTTGCTTTGTTTTGTTTTGTTATGGAAGCCCAGTTGACTAGTTAGTACATTCCAATTTATCATAACTATTTTTCTAAATACCATAACTTTTCCATCTTCACTTACATGGAAAAATGTAAAATGTATTAACTGAAATTAAATTTGTCCATTCAGTTAAAGTTTGACACCCTGTAATAACGTGCTTATATGATTAATAGTAGGCATCAAATGCTTAAGCCATTGACTTTTAAATGTTTCCCTTTAAAAACTTACTAGCACATATTGTTCCTAGTCTATATCAATGTTGATATTCGATTAATTATTAGAAATCATTAACTAAAAAGATTATCTGGCTTATTTTCTCATTGTGTTACAGTAAAATTTGTGTTCTCCAACTCAACTGAAGTTAGAGGACCTATTATTTCTAATACTGTCCTAAGAAAAATCTCATCTCTTTGCAATTTTACAAATTCTGTCAGAAAGCTATGTTTACTATGACATACGAACAGTTTCACAGATAATAGAAATTTTATAGTTCATTTATTTATTTTTTGTGTGTTGGACAGTGTGAAAGAAGTGAGACATGTATATTATATGCACCCACTAAATATAGATACTATATTGATAAATGTTATATCATATATTCTAGTTTTAATATAGTGGTTATATATTACCCATTTATATTATAATCATATAATGAAACTATATAGATGTTTTGCATATAGATGTTGTAAAATGTAATACACACATACATATTAATTGGCCTTAATTCCCACACAGTTTTGGAAGACCAATGCAGGACATTTAGGGTTGCACAAATTCACTCAGTTATCTTTAATGTTCTACTTTTGAGCTTCTTCTCTCTCATAATCAACATAATAGTATTTATTTTTTTGAATCAGTGTTAGCTTTATTTTCCTCTCATGTTTACTAATGCTTTTATTACAATATTCTAATGGGATGTGAATGTTTTCTTTCAAATGGTCTATGTGTTAACTGTAACAGTTTCTACTTTATGAAAGAGTTTAAAGAGGGTAAATTTTATTAAGGTTCATTTGCTTATTTGCATTAAATTGAGGTACAGAAAAGCAGACTTAGTGGTTTCCATTGTCATGCATTCATTCACACAGAGCTACAATAGACAAATGGATTTTAATTGATGGTTATATATTTAAAATATGGATTTGATTCAATATTAATCAAATGATCATACTATAATTAGTATATCACATATTTATCAATAAGAATATCAAGGACTTTAATTACAGACCTGTGATGGATGTTGATCTGGAATACAATTTATTCTCTCATTGACAGGATCATTTTGTACACTTGGACACTTGCCTGGACCAAAAGTCTCAAGTTCTGAGAAAGAAATAAGTCAAAAAATAAAACATGAAGATTTTTGCCCTTTTCTACAATCTTTCAAGTAATGAGTAAACTAAATGTTACACAAATTTATATGTGATGAAAATAAAAATAAATTTCATTTTTTAAAGATTTATTTATTTATTTATGCATACAGAACTGGGGTATCGGTCAGAGGTGTGATGGGTGAGAGGATTCACCAGAGACAGAGTGGGGAGCAGAACAGCAAATCAATGAAGCACACTGCTGAGGGGAGCAGCGGGTGGCTCAGGAGAAGTCTGCCAGGCCATATGGTCACCTCCCAGGGCGGGGATCAACCTCATGCTGAAGTGACTTTAGCTTCTTAGTGTTGTGCTTTAACCTGTTGTGCCACAAATTTCATTTTTAATAGGACCCTGAAATTTAAATCTTAGTTTTAAAATGGAAAAATAAGACAAATAGCATTTAGAAATTTGCTTGAGTTATCCTGTTGGCTATATCCTCAGAAAAACAAAACATATTCACACAGAGCCTTGAGGTACATTCAAAAGGAAATAAAATAAAGCTACATTCACAAACTAGTACAACCACTATGGAAAACTGTTTGGAGGTTCCTCAAACTGCTAAACATGGAGCTTCCCTACGACCCAGCAATCCCACTCCTAGGTATCTACCCAAAACACACAAAAACACTGACCGATTGAAAAAGATATCTGTACCCCCATGTTTGTTGCTGCTTTATTTACAATTGGAAGAACATGGAAGCAGCCCAAATGCCCAAAAGTAGATGACTGGATAAAAAAGATGTGGTACATATATACAATGGAATATTACTCAGCAACCAAAAAAGAGAAACACATGTCTTTTGCAGCAACTTGGATGGAGCTGGAAAAGATCATGCTTAGTGAGATAAGCCAGAAAGAGAAAGAAAAATACCGATGGTTTCACTCATAGCAGGCGTATAATGGACCAGGTAAGAAAATAACAAAAATAATGAACAACCATATACCAGAGACATTTTGCGGGGGTGAAGTGGGGAATGGTATCAAAAATGGGGGTACGGGGAGGGAAATGCATGGGATTATGGTGATGGCATACAGGTGACTTGGTGATGGGAAACCCACGGGGATTACAATTGAGATCGAAAAAAAAATATACAAAATGATGTAAAAATATACTTTTGTAATAAAATAAGTAAAAAAAAATAAAACTGCATTCCACGGTATTTCATTATGTGTTTTATAGATTATGAATAAAATACAGGAACATGGATACCACCTTACACCAGTAAAACTGACCCATATTAAAAATAAATTAACAACTGTTGATGAGGTTATGGTAAAAAAGAAACTCTCCTACACTACTGGTGGAAGTGAAAATTGGTCCAATTACTATGAAAAGTTGTATGGAGTTCTACTAAAAATGGAGCTACTTTATTACCTGGTAATTCCACTTCTAGGTATTCACCAAAGGGCACAAAATCATTAATACAAAAGAACACATACTTCCCTATGTTTATTGTAGTACTATTTATTGTAGGTAAGATGCCCAAAAATAGGCAACTGGGTCAAAAAGATGTGGTGACTATACATACTGGAATACTACTCAGCAATCAAAAGAGAAAAACTAATGCCAATAACAACAGCAAAAACAAATTCTGCTCACTGAAATTTGTCAGAAGGAAAAACACCTGATTGGTTTCACTTGTAGAAGGAATAGAGAGGATCTAGAAAAAAAAAAAAAAAGAAAGAAACTATAAATCAGTAAATCAGTGATATTCTGCAGAAGAGGGCCTGGGAAAGGGTTAAAGGGAGGGTCTAAAGAGCACAAGGGACTATGGAACTATGAGGAAGATGCAAGGGTGAATTGGTGGTGGAAATTCATTGGGAAATACACCTGAGAAAATAAAGTGATCATTGTACAAAAATAAACAATGGTGTTAAGTATATATAAAAGTTTAAAACATATACTAAAATTAAAAATAAAATATATAAGGAACAAAGGAACAATCCCCAAGAACTAAATTCATTGGGAAGAAAAAAGAAACAAACAAATAAGTAACATGGACACAAAAATAAAGAAGAAAAATTGTGGGGTGTGTGTGTGTGTGTACATGCACAGGTGTGTATAAGTGAATAGAAGGGAATGTATGGAGTAGCAAACACAAATAAATACCAACTGTAAAAGGGATTTTTATGTGTCTGAAATTAAGGTAACATTGATTTACAATGTTACATATGATTCAAATGCAGGATCCTAATTCTTTCTAACAGATGTAGGTAAGATAAAATGAGTTGCTTCACAATGTGGTGAGTTCTCAGTTACTGAAAAATGTAAAACAGAAGACTAACAGCAGTAGAAAATGTTAACTCTGCTTATAGTAGAAGATAAAAGATAACATCCTTTCAAATTTTGATTTAATGAAGAGAATGAAGTAAGACAAGATGGATTAGGTAGACCAGAGTTGTGTGCATCAACTCTAAATTAGCACAGAAATCCGTAACTACTGTCAAATAAACTTTATATTAACCTTAAATGCTTTTGACAGTACTTACTTTCATTTGAAGTTGACCGAGTTGCTAAGACAGCAATTAAAGCAATAGCTATAATAGAAACGATTAGAAAGAGGACTATCAGAGTGATTTCCAACACAGAAAGTTTCTTCCTTGCCATCTAAAAGAAATAAAAAAAAAAATGTGTTTAAAATGTAAAATATACAACTGCAATACACCAACATTTAACTTGAAATTGTACATATTTTTTTCATTTTTAAGCATAATTCAGTTGCAGATAGCACTTCCAGTTTGTAATGTAAACTGCATGTCATTTTAAGTAAAATGAGTGAAATAGTGATGTACATTATATTAGTACACTAAGAAGAAAATAAATTTCCATGACTTTTTTTGCATTCTCTAAGTTTTATATAAATCTTTATTCAGTGGTAGATATCCAGAAAGAAACTTAAAATTTTCATAACAAATATGAAATGTTTCAATATATGGCTAGTTTTATTTATTTGTTTATTTATTTATTCATTCGTTCATTCATTCATTCATTTGTGGCCTCTCACAAGTGGTCCCTCCTCTCATAGCGATATCAGTCATATACTCAGTTGTCCCAATCTATAAACTATTTTCCTTATTCTATATAGTCCTACCACATTTAATCATTTAAAAACCCTATTGACTTTACCTCTAAAATATTTTCAGAATTACACCTCCATCCTTTCCCTGCCACTGCAGTTCTGTTTTTGTTTGTGTTTTTTTGCATAACAAGTTACATGCTTATTAAACTTTGATCACTCCCTCTCCTCCTGCTTTTCTAGAGTAGTCCAATTGCTTTCCAGTTCAAATGTCATGCCTGTTGTCTTTTTTCACTCTTAATCTATCATTTTTTCCATAAAACATCAAGTATATATTGTAATTATGTATGCATATGCTAGTTTCATCAATTGAGATGTTACATTTTTATAGCAAAAAATCAAGAAAGTAGCACAGGACTTGACATTGAGTAAACACAGCTCAATTTCTAAAATATACCTATAAACTAATGTTTAAAGGCTAGCATTCAATTTTTCCACATTTTATCTCATAAAATTAGCTATTTTTTTCATTGGTAATCTTTAGGGAATCTGAATATGAATCAAGCATAATAAAAAGGACAACTCAAATATGAAGTTGTTTAGAAAATATAATTATAAAGTTGATTTAAAGTTCATTTGTTTAAATTTTAATAAGTTAAACATTCAATATTCTACTTTTTATCAGGAAATCAATAAAAGTGATTTCACTTTTATTTTATTAAGCGATATCTAATAATAATGCATATAGACCTGAAGCAAACCTTGCTTATCTATGAGAATCAAAATAAAATTAAAATGATCCAAAGTTAAATCACCCATAGGAGTATTCATAAACAATTAATAATAAAATTGTCCATGTACTATAGGTAGTGATTACAATGTTCATATTTTGTATTATATTATTTTAGTCAAAATGTTTTCGGGTAATTTTTATATTGATGTCTTTTCTCTTACATTAATTTTCAAATGACTAACACTATTACAGTAAAATTATTTGTTAGAAAAGTTTACATTTTATAAATGTAACATGCTACTCTACGTAAATATAACATGTAATCACATTTAGAGTATTTTTCTAACTTTCAAAAATTTGCTATTTTCTTTGAAAGGTACAGGATAAACAGCCTTCTATGATGGCACTTTCATTTGGCAGAAGTTACAATTATTAACTAGGCAAAGAAAATACTCATATTAAAAACAGACACACATACATATATATTTTTAATATGAGTATTTTCTTATAAATACATATGTGTCTTTCACCTGGTTTTAGTATGAGATATTTAAAATGACAAATGAAAATATGTTATTTTTGAAATCTTAAACAAGTTTAGGCAAGGATTATTGTTAACATAAATTAAAGGAGTACATAATTACCTAGAAACATAAAATAGCATGAAATTATCATGATACAAAAAAAGAAATATGATTTTTAGACCTACCTTACTTCATAACCTGTTCTGTTTACTATGTTGTACAAAAGTTCTTCAGGCCGCCAAAGTAATGATCAGGAACAACAGCCCAGTTATATAGTGAGCTACTCATAAAGTTTTATAGCACCCTCATCAGCCTATAAGGATTTGATGAATTTCTGTTCAGTATGCAATTATAAAATGTACTAACTCTGAAAAAAGTTTGCATAAATATTTTTTTCTGGAAATCTAAGTTAAATAACAATTGGCTTTTTTTGATTTCTGGAAGTTATTAACTAGCCTAAGAATATAAAATCATACATTCTTTTTCTTTTTCATAATTTGGATGTTCATTTGATGACCATTTATATCATTGTTGAAATCTGAACTCTCATAGGAAAGTAAAATATTTATGAAAGTTAGAATTTGGCACTAACAAGCCCATAAAAGTAAAAAAAAATTAAAATTGATATTGTGTGTCTCATTATTTCCTTATGACTATATCCATAAGGAAAATTAAATAATTAATTCAAAAATAAAATCAATATTTTGTTTTTGTATTAATTTATTGTTTACAACACTGTTTCAAAATTCAAAAAAATATTATGTACATTTTCCATTTCATACAGTGAAAATTACAGTATTAACTTCACTACCCATTTAAGCTAGTAGAGCATTTAAGATTTCAAGAAAGTATTTTATAAATGAAATCATGGCACAAATGCCAGCTGTACCACATATATCTGAGAAATCATGATAGAATGTGTTAATTTCTTCAGGCCTAAGACTATTTATCTATAAAGAAGAAATAAAAATGTCTACCGTTATGGTCATTGTGAGAATAAAATGAGCTAACAGTTCATTATCATTATTTTAGTTCTCCTATAACAGAGAGTATTATTTGATTCTGATATGTTTGATCTGAGATCTTCACACAATTCTAGCATTTTCAAGTTAATATACTTTTAAATATTGTGACATGAAATAAACTAACTAGATTTTCAAGGCAAACTGTATATGGGGTTAAAGAAAAAAATAGTAAAAGTCATACTTTCATGTCATACTCTCAGACTCAGGGGAAATATAAAGGTAAAAGTCAATATAGAAAGTAGTAATATCTAAATAAGATTACAATCTCACTTGAATGACTTCAACATGCAGAATAAAGTCCAGTGCAATCAAAACATGAATGATTTACTCTCTATTTAGAGTACATAAAAAGCATATGCAGAAAAAAAAATTATTATATCTACCTAGATGTCCTAGATTCAAGATGTGAGGATAGCAAGACCAAAAAATAACAATTCAATATATAAAAGTGAATCACATTACTATGCAAAAATATCTAATTAGAAGTTGAACAATATTTACATATATCTACCTAACTATCTATAGATATGAAGGGAAAGATAATTTATGATGGCAGGAAAAATGAATATTTGGTTGAAATGTAATAAAATATATGCAGTATTTTATTAAAAAACATTTTGATAAAATTCAAAAACTATAAAAATAAATGAAATAATAGACTATATAATTACTAGAAAACTCAAAATTATTAAATTGTTGACTCTCCACAATAATATATATATACGATGTATTTAAAAATAAATACACCAGGGCCCTCCCTGGTGGTGCAGCAGGCTAAAGCACAACACTAAAAAGCTAAAGCCACTTCAGCCTGAGTTCCATCCCCGCCTTGTATGTGACCACATGGAGCAGCAGACTTCACCTGACCCACCCACTGCTCCCCTCAGCAGTGTACTTCATCAGTCAGCATGTTCTGCTCCCCACTCTGTCTCTGTTGAATCCTTTCCCTGCCCCTGCACCTCTGGCCTGTACCCCAGTTCTATATGCATAAATAAATAAATATTTATAAATAAATAAATACACCAAATTGGTAGGCACATTATCAATGTTCTGCATCAAAGAGCAGAGTAACTTTATTCATAATTTACTCAAATGGAAACAAAAACTGATTATCAACACTTGGGGTACATACACAATGGCATACTACTTAGCAATGAAAGGGTGGGATATTGATTTACACAAAAAAATATGCATCACCCTTAGAATTTAAATTAGCTGTTTGCATTACAATTTCAGTTTTCTGATTTTGTGAGTTTAGTATTGTATCAGTATGGTTGTTAGTACCTTAAACTTATGTTTTCTATCTACCCTGATTGTTCTGCTTTCTATATATTTTTAGATCATTTTATTCAATTTATGGATTTGCATACAGTATACCTAATCTCTGTTCATTTTATTTTAATATCTAGCATACTCAATAAATCTAAATTTGCATTACATAATATATGTTATAAATGGCCAATGTTCTAGTAGAATCTTCCAAAAGATTTTTTTAAGTCTATCATTTAGTTTTAAGTTACTTTTCTATGAATTATTGCTGTTATTTTCTGCTGAGTGTTATATAATATCAATGATTTTTTTTTTGTATTAAGAAGGTAAAATACTTGATTTTCAGTAATACATATGTGAAACTTATGCAATACTAAGGCAACATTAATTCAATAAATCAGTCAGAAGATGGACAAAGTGTACATATACATCTAAGTTTACTCTATCTCAAATATCACTAAATTTGTAGCAAAGGATATTTTTAAGCAACCATAAACTTATTCAGGAAAATAAAGTTGAAGATATGAAAAGTAATAAAATTTTGGATGTTGGACTCTAGATGGACAAATGGCAATATTCCAGTAAACCAAGAAAGTGAAACTCAAGCCTGCAGTGGGTAAAAAAATATTCTTGAATATCACCAATTCCTTCTAGAATTTGGGGTAAAGAAAGCAGGAACTGACATTAGGATCAATGGGGTAAAATCTGACCTGAAGGCAAAGCTCAACATTATGGCTGTCTCTGCAGTCTGGCAGAAGTCTAGATATTTATATTCATTTATATTCTAGGTAGAAAATAATGCAGGTATGTGAACTGACAACTAGATGGTTTTGACTACCTTTTAGACTCTTGGATGATTCTTTCCTGAGGAATAAACCTAAAAAAAAAAAAATAGAAGAAGAAGAAGAAGAAAGAAAATTTTCAAAGACTCAGATATAGCAGTTATTGGAAAATTACCTAATAGTGAAGTTTAAAATTTACAATCTTCACAATATGTGTTTATTACATTCTGACAGCCAAAATTTAAATGACATATTAGA